CCCATCGAAAATAGTCTTTAAAAATCCACGCCTATTGGTCGTATAGTCCCATCGAAAATAGTCTTTAAAAATCCACGCCTATTGGTCGTATAGTCCCATCGAAAATAGTCTTTAAAAATCCACGCCTATTGGTCGTATAGTCCCATCGAAAATAGTCTTTAAAAATCCACGCCTATTGGTCGTATAGTCCCATCGAAAATAGTCTTTAAAAATCCACGCCTATTGGTCGTATAGTCCCATCGAAAATAGTCTTTAAAAATCCACGCCTATTGGTCGTATAGTCCCATCGAAAATAGTCTTTAAAAATCCACGCCTATTGGTCGTATAGTCCCATCGAAAATAGTCTTTAAAAATCCACGCCTATTGGTCGTATAGTCCCATCGAAAATAGTCTTTAAAAATCCACGCCTATTGGTCGTATAGTCCCATCGAAAATAGTCTTTAAAAATCCACGCCTATTGGTCGTATAGTCCCATCGAAAATAGTCTTTAAAAATCCACGCCTATTGGTCGATTGGTCGTATAGTCCCATCGAAAATAGTCTTTAAAAATCCACGCCTATTGGTCGTATAGTCCCATCGAAAATAGTCTTTAAAAATCCACGCCTATTCGTCGGACAGTCCCTTTGAAAATAGTCTTTAAAAATCTACGCCTATTGGTCGGTTAGTCCCTTCGAAAATAGTCTTTAAAAATCTACGCCTATGGGTCGGTTAGTTCCTTCGAAAATAGTCTTTAAAAATCTACGCCTATTGGTCGGTTAGTCCCTTCGAAAATAGTCTTTAAAAATTTACGCCTATTGGTCGGTTAGTCCCTTCGAAAATAGTCTTTAAAAATCTACGCCTATTGGTCGGTTAGTCCCTTCGAAAATAGTCTTTAAAAATCTACGCCTATTGGTCGGTTAGTCCCTTCAAAATAGTCTTTAAAAATCCACGCCTAATGGCCGGATTGTCCCTTCGAAAATGGTCTTTAAAAATCCACGCCTATTGGCCGGATTGTCCCATCGAAAATAGTCTTAAAAAATTCACGCCTATCGGTCGGATAGTCCCATCGAAAAAAAAATCTTTTAAAATTCACGACATTGGTCGGATAGTCCGATCGAAAAAAATCTTTAAAAATCCTGGAGGTCATTCGAAAAAATATTTCTTTAAAAAATCTACGTTTGAAAATCTGTGGGTCTTTGAAAAAATATTCTCTTCCAAAATCCACGCCTGGAGATCTGTGGGTCTTTGAAAAACATTCCTTTAAAAATCCCTGCCTGGAGGTCTTTGAAAAAAATAACGCCTGGAGGTAACTACCCTGCGGTTCCACGGCTCTGCTGTACCTATAGTAGGACTCTTTTAGAACCTCTACCGGGTCCTGGTTAAATTTTGAATTTTTTCTTCGCTTACCTGTTCATCAATATAAGCCGTGCACACCCTCCAGCTATCTTCACAATTCACCGAATCACCAAAGCCCGGTGTATCGACAACAGTTAGCCGCAATCTCACACCTCTCTCTTCTATGTCCATTGTCTTCTTTTCGATGCGTGTTGTCTTCTCAATCCTCTCCTCGACCGGTGGTATAACACGATTCTTATACATATCACCCAAAAAGAGACTATTGATGAGGGTCGATTTGCCCAAACCCGATTCACCCACAACCATGAGGGTAAATTCGAAACCACGCTTTACCGATTTACGATGCACCTGCTCCGGCAGGGTGGCAAAGCCGATATAGTCACGATCCTTGTCGAATGATGGTGTTTTAGCTGCAATTAGAAAGAAAAGAGAGCATTTTTATTTAGTTTTTTAGGTTATGAGGAAATTGAGGATGGAAAACGATGCTAGGGTGCAAGGTTCTCCTGTAGGTTGTATTTAATATTCGATAAGAGATTTAATTGAAATTTAAAGGTGATCGATCATTTGTCATATCCCATTTGAAGAGAGAGTTTTCAAAGTCCTCTCTCTCTTTCCCCAAAGTTCTCTTGCTATAACATCGTATTTACCCTTGGCAAAGGAACGATGAAGGTCAGCAGGTATTCCAAAGCCACTTGAGGTATTGGTATTGAATAGAATCCCCCACCATTTTGAATATGTTATCCTAATCCTCCTCCTCCATAAATCTCTTCGTTTATTCACTAATTACCAGTTTACACGAAGGCCCTTTCTTAGCAACCGAACCAATTCAAATGAAATGTAAACAACGGAAGCTGCCAACAAGGGATAGATTTATTGTTCCAATGGTCGGAATATAGAAATTATAAATGGATTCCTGATAAATACAACAGCAACAAAAACAAATACGGGACGGAAAAGGAGAGGGGAAGCTATTGAATGTCAGCCAGAGAGACAGACAGACGGATGTGCCACAACACATGTGTTCGGAATCTCTCGCACGCTTTGACATGCAGCATCAATTGTTTGCCATAATGGTTCCCAGGTTGAAGGAGTTGCATGCCGCACGCTAAATGGTTTTCATATGCTTGTGGTGCATGCTGCACATGTTTTTCAGGGTAGCTGAGGTGGCACGTGCCATGCTACTTTTTAAAGAATGCAAGGCAGGCGGGCAGCTAGCTGTTGGGTGCCTGACTGGTTGCATGAATGAGTGAGTGGAACACCTCAAGTCATAAGTGTTGAAAGGCGTGCAGGCAGCTCCTTGAAAGTCGATGAAGAACAGCAGCAGCCCACACCCTCTTTTTATGGCCATCAGGGATGTGACGGATGGGATTTTGTATGGGTTTACGACAAAATTTCTTGTTAGTGTCGAATATGTCGTTTATGTCTATACGCCTAGATGCCTGTGGGTCTTTGAAAAAATATTCGTTTAAAAAATCCACGCCTGGAGGCCTGTGGGTCTTTGAAAAAATATTCCTTTAAAAAATCCACTCCTGGAGGCCTGGGCGTCTTTGAAAAAATATTCCTTTAAAAAATCCACGCCTGGAGGCCTGTGGGTCTTTAAAAAATATTCCTTTAAAAAATTCTGTGGGTCTTTGAAAAAATATTCGTTTAAAAAATCCACGCCTGAAGGCCTGTGGGTCTTTGAAAAATATTCCTTTAAAAAATCCAGGCCTCTGTTGGTTCCTTAAAATATTTTTTTTAAAAAATCCACGTCCCTGTTGGAACCTTCAGAAAATATTAAAAAAACGCATCTGTTTTGCGGTTTTTTACAAAATGTAGTAAATGTCAAAAATGTCGTTTGTGTGTACCAAAGGTGTGTCATGAATGTAAATCATATAGTTATGTAGAAATATCGAGTCAATTGAGGCCCGGGATTTATTTTATCATAAATTTATGTTTTTTTACAAAATGTCGTAAAAGTCACAAATGTCAAAAACCCTGTAGAAAATGTATTTAAGTGGCAAATAACATCATTCAATTACGAATATTTATTCAGAAAAGATTTTTTTACTTTTTTAAAAAAGGTGTAAATGTCGTAAACCTGTATAAAATGAATAAAACACAATAACATTTAAAAATTTAATCAATGTCAAAAATGTCGTAAAGCACAGGAAATTAGTAAAATAATTTTAGCGTATTTTTGGGGTTTTTGACATAATGTAGTAAATGTCAAAAATGTCGTTTGTGTGTACAAAAGGGTGTAACATTAATTTAATTTATATAATTATGTTAAAATATTGTGTAAATTGATGTCTAGGATTAATTTTATCATAAATTTATGTTTTTCACAAAATGTCGTAAAAGTCACAAATGTCAAAAAACCAGTAGAAAATGTATTTAAGAATCAAATTCAGAAAGTATCATCATTGAATTGTGTAGATTTATTTCGAAGAGATTTTTTGCGTTTTCTACAAAGTGATGTAAATGTCAAAAATGTCGTAAACCTGTATAAAATTAATGAATCATACCAAAAAATTTATATTTATATACTACAACTTGATTTCGAAGCAAAACTATTGGATTTTTGACATTTACAATTTTTTGCATAAAATTGAGGTTTTTTTACAAAATGTCGTGAATGTCAAAAATGTGATTTGGGTGTATAAAATGCCAGGCATTGCTGTAAACAAATAATAATGTTAAAATATTGCGTAATTTGGGGTCTAGCATTGAATCTTTGCTAAATTTAGGTTTCTGACAAAATGTCGTAAATGTCAAAAATGTGTTTTATATGTATAAAATGGCGTGGCATTAGTGTTAACCAATAACTTTGTTCAAATATTGCAAAGTTTGGGGTCTAGCATGTAATCTATACTAAATTTGAGTTTCCGACAAAATGTCGTAAATGTCAAAAATGTAATTTGTATGTATAAAATGGCGTGGTATTACTGTAAACCAGTAAATATCTTAAAATTTAGTATAGTTTGGGGCCTAGTGTGTAATCTAGGCTCAATTTAGGTTTCTGACAAAATGTCAAAAAGGTAATTTGTATGTATAAAACCAATAACTATGTTAAAATTTAGTGTAGTTTGGGGTCTAGCATGTAGTATATGCTAAATTTAAGTTTCCGACAAAATGTCGTAAATGTCAAAAATGTGATTTGTTTAAATATAGCGTATTTTGGGGTCTAGCATTGAATCTTTGCTGAATTTAGGTTTCCGACAAAATGTCGTAAATGTCAAAAATGTGATTTATGTGTATAAAATGGCATGGCATTACTGTAAACCAATAACGATGTTAAAATTTGGCGTAGTTTGGGTCTAGCGTGTAAAATAGGCTCAATTTAGGTTTCTGCCAAAATGTCGTAAATGTCAGTTTTGGGCAATTTTTCAACTGAAGTAGTTGTAAATTGGTATTTTCTTTTCTGTTTGGGTAACAAATCTTCTAAACCAAAAATTTTTTATATTGGTCCACTTTTTAGGATAGTCCGTATTTAATGGTACCTCCCAATATCGGTATATTGGGAAGTTTCGGCGAGTTTTTCAAACAAATTGGCTTTAATTTAATATTTTGGGTTCTGCTTGGATAACCAATGTTCATGGCAAAAATTATCATCGTTGGGTTACTTTTTAGAGAAGCCACCATGTAAAGGTTAGCCCTCAAAGTTCTGGTATTTTGGGGAATTTGAGCTGCGTTTTTCAACCGAATTGCTTGTAATTTAATTTTTTAGTTTCTCATTGGGTAGCAACTGTTCACACGGAAAATTATAATTTTTTAGTCAAAGTTTCAGGTTAGCCCCCATATGAAGGTCCAGACATTTTACAGGGGTTTTGAGGATTTCAGACAGGGTTTTCCACTGAATTGGATAGAATTTAATATTTTCTCTCTTTTGTCATTTTGTTTGTTTAAAGATTGGTGGTAAATTTATGGGCTTTTCGACAGGTCATCTCTGTTCAGGGCCACAGAACAGCACCGCAGGCCTAAAAACAAAGATATTTTTAATGCTGCAGAACAATACTCAGATTGCTGGTGCTGCTTCTGACATCTTTAACGAGCTACGTGGCATACCCCGACAAGCCACAATGGTGGTCTATCCAATGGCACAGGAAGGGCCAAACAATAAACGCCTAATTATGACATGAAGCCACTTGCAGGTGACATCAACAACTCACGGAAGTTTGGCGAGCAAAAAATGACTACAAGAAAAATAAAGAAAAAATGGGCACCTCTGCAACAACACTCAATGGCGTTCAAAGGCATCAAACAAGCTACACACATACTCGCACACACACACTCACACATATCAGCAATAAGAAGGAGCCCACTTAAGAAGCATCCTTGTTGAGTGGTAGAAGTAGTACTTCCTTGTGGTCGGAATGTGGATAGAAAAAAAGGATCCCACGAATGTGGGATAAATCATAGAAATATGGGATACAAAAGGGGAGCTGTAAAAAAATAACTTACACATTATGAAAGTGTTATTGTCCTGGTGAGCGTAGAAGTCCTTTTGTCGTGTTGAAGACAAAAATCCTTATTAAAAAAACTAATTTTCAGCTTAAAGTTATCCTTGAGATGGCATTAAATTTGAACACGATTTCGATTTATTAAAACTGATTTTTTCAATTCCCTAAAATTTTCGATTTTGAGGTCTGAACTTTTTTTCTGTGTTTTTTCTTCTTCTTCTTTTTTTGGGAGTAGTGGTTGGTGGTGGTAGTTTTTCTTCACAAAATTTTAGCACTTTATTCGGCAGATATTAGTTTGCTTCCCGAAATTCTTTTTTTTTCAAAAATTCACTTGAAAATATTCCTCTAAATTTGTTTCCTTCATTTTGAAAATTTTGATATTTCGAATAGTTTTTCTTTTTTCAAAATTTGTCACCGGACAAAAACACCAATTTTTCTTTAGCGGAAAATTTGTATTGTTGATAACAAAACGTCGTATAACATAATTTGTATGTTGTCATTCCAATACTATTGTTCCGGGGCATGCGCAGGACCTTATTTTTGGTTCGCATAACAGCCAGGGGAGTGGAGTGGATGTGGGAGTTCGAAGAGAGTTGTGATTAACATGCTCTTAGAATAGGTGGGGATATGACTGAAGGACTAACATGAAAAGTAATTTTTATACAGGACGTGGATTTTTAAACGAATTTTTATAGAGCACCCAAAGAGCCTTAGGCGTGGATTTTTTAAACGATTTTTTCTGGAGTACCCAAAGAGCCTTAGGCGTGAATTTTTTGAACGCATTTTTATAGAGCACCCAAAGAGCCTAAGGCGGTGGTTTTTTAAAGATTTTTTATAGAGCATCCAAAGAGCCTTAGGCGTGGATTTTTTATAGAGCATCCAAAGAGCCTAAGGCGGGCATTTTTTAAAGATTTTTTATAGAGCATCCAAAGAGCCTTAAGCGTGGATTTTTTATAGAGCACCCAAAGAGCCTAAGGCGTGGATTTTTTAAAGATTTTTTATAGAGCACCCAAAGAGCCTTAGGCGTGGTTTTTTTTAACGATTTTTTATAGATCACCCAAAGAGCCTTAGGCGTGGATTTTTTAAAGAAGTTTTATAGCGGACCCAAAGAGCCTTAGGCGTGGATTTTTTAAAGAAGTTTTATAGCGGACCCAAAGAGCCTTAAGTGTGGATTTTTTAAACGAACTTTTATTGAGCACCCAAAGAGCCTTAGGCGTGGATTTTTTTAAAGAATTTTTATAAAACACCCAAAGAGCCTTAGGCGTGGATTTTTTTAAAGATTTTTATAAAACACCCAAAGAGCCTTAGGCTTGGATTTTTTAAACGAATTTTTATAAAGCACCCAAAGAGCCTTAGGCGTGGATTTTTTTAAAGAATTTTTATAAAGCACCCAAAGAGCCTTAGGCGTGGATTTTTTTAAAGAATTTTTATAAAGCACTCAAAGAGCCTTAGGCGTAGATTTTTTAAAGAATTTTTGTAGAGCACCCTAAGAGCCTTAGGCGTGGATTTTTTAAAGAATTTTTATAGAGCACCCTAAGAGCCTTAGGCGTGGATTTTTTAAAGAATTTTTGTAGAGCACCCTAAGAGCCTTAGGCGTGGATTTTTTAAAGAATTTTTGTAGAGCACCCTAAGAGCCTTAGGCGTGGATTTTTTAAAGAATTTTTATAGAGCACCCAAAGAGCCTTAGGCGTGAATTTTTTAAAGAATTTTTATAGAGCACCCAAAGAGCCTTAGGCGTGAATTTTTTAAAGAATTTTTATAGAGCACCCAAAGAGCCTTAGGTGTGGATTTTTTAAACGAATTTTTATAGAGCACCCAAAGAGCCTTAGGTGTGGTTTTTTTAAAGATTTTTTATAGAGCACCCGTTATGATGTATAAGTTTCCCACCCCTGCTAAATTTCTCTTTCATAGAATACCATAAAACGAATTTTCCAACTTTTACTCTTAACTTGCTGTCATTCGTTCTACCTCAGTGACAGCACCCCCAATTTTGGTTTTTGTCTTGTCTCCTTTTATTCTTTTTTTGTCTAGTAGTTCAATAACACCCTTATTTGTCACAGCCCCATCGAAATGTCAGAGCAAAACAAAAGGTGAAAAGAAAAACTACCACAATAGGAAGGCGCTGTGCAGAATGTCAGACAGACACACAAGAAACGGCTTCCAAACAATAAGTCGGTTATTTGTCAGTAGGAAAAATGAGGGCGAATGTATGAGAGAAAACCGTAAAGAGCGAGAAAGAGAGATAGTGGGAGAAAGCGGGTTGGAAAATTGCATTCATTTCATTGTACAGGTTGTCAAAAGTGATACACAAACAACGTTTAGACAGGTGTGTTCTGTGCAATTTGTTGTACAACTTGGTGGATGGAGCGGGGTGAATTGTTATTTGGAATTTAAAAATTTATGTTTTCCGATACATATTTAATTTAATACATTGAATAAATAATTACTCCAATTTTGATTACATTTTATTGTGAAATATTCATTGCCTTCATTGAAAGAAATATGAAGCCATAATACCCTCTCCCTTCCCTCCCCTCTACCTCATTATTATTATTTTTTTTAAATATCACACAGCCCTTTTCCCAGTAAACTCCAACACATATGCCGGCCTTTTTATTGATTACTTTGACTTGGCCAATCTGTAATGTGGTACCCCATTCCCACCAACCCCAAACCCCTCATCCTCCATACGAAATGTAAACACAGACATCTTGGCAACAATGTCGGGGGAAGTCATTCAGATCTTCGTTGTTCTTACCCTCAGGGAAGAACAAAAAAATCAAAACAATAATCATGTTGTCAGAAAGGAAAAAAAAAAATACACAGCCTGACCGACTAGGAGTAGTTCCAAATAGCACGGATAAATGAACAGCCATAAAGCACACAAACACTCATACATAAACACTTTGGAGGCCTGTTGTCGAATAACTGAATGAAGCAACGAGAAGTTTGTTATACAATGTGCAGTATGGTCTATGGACCATGCAGTGGCGAGGGAGAGGGTGGGGGTATCAAAAGATGCCGTTAAGAAAGCACTTGCATAATTTATGCTTGAATGATGTGGGTGTTCTTTCAGGCCCCAACATACTCTGAAGAGTATGAAATACAAATACACAAAGGCAAACTTGAATAGGTTCAGAAATATTCTCGAAATTTACTTAAAAATATCTAAGCTTCTCGAAAATTGCTTATTGCCACGCCCTTTAGGCTACTGAACCCTTTCGAAAACGGCTTAAAAATCCAAGCATATTGGTCTTCTAGAGAACTGCTTTAAAAATCAACGCCTTGTGGGCTACTGAACACTCTCGAAAACTGCTGAAAAAATCCATGCCTTGACCATTACTGTACCCTCCCAAAAATGTCTTTAAATATCGACGCCTTGTGGGCTACTGTACCCTCCCAAAAATGACTTTAAATATCGACGCCTTGTGGGCTACTGAACCCTCCCAAAAATGACTTTAAATATCAACGACTTGTGGGCTACTGGACCCTCCCAAAAATGGCTTAAAAAAAAAAATTGTTTAAAAAATCCACGCCTTGTGGGCTACTGGACCCTCCCAAAAATGGCTTAAAAAAAAAATTGTTTAAAAAATCCACGCCTTGTGGGCTACTGAAGCCTCTCTAAAATTGTTTAAAAAATCCACGCCTTGTGGGCTACTGAAGCCTCTCTAAAATTGTTTAAAAAATCCACGCCTTGTGGGCTACTGAAGCCTCTCTAAAATTGTTTAAAAAATCCACGCCTTGTGGGCTACTGAAGCCTCTCTAAAATTGTTTAAAAAATCCACGCCTTGTGGGCTACTGAAGCCTCTCTAAAATTGTTTAAAAAATCCACGCCTTGTGGGCTACTGAAGCCTCTCTAAAATTGTTTAAAAAATCCACGCCTTGTGGGCTACTGAAGCCTCTCTAAAATTGTTTAAAAAATCCACGCCTTGTGGGCTACTGAAGCCTCTCTAAAATTGTTTAAAAAATCCACGCCTTGTGGGCTACTGAAGCCTCTCTAAAATTGTTTAAAAAATCCACGCCTTGTGGGCTACTGAAGCCTCTCTAAAATTGTTTAAAAAATCCACGCCTTGTGGGCTACTGAAGCCTCTCTAAAATTGTTTAAAAAATCCACGCCTTGTGGGCTACTGAAGCCTCTCTAAAATTGTTTAAAAAATCCACGCCTTGTGGGCTACTGAAGCCTCTCTAAAATTGTTTAAAAAATCCACGCCTTGTGGTCTAGTGAACCCTATCGAAAATTGCTTTAAAAATCCACCCCTTGTGGGCTACTGAACCCTCTCGAAAACTGCTTTAAAAATCCAAGCCTTGTGGGCTACTGAACCCTCTCGAAAATTGCTTTAAAAATCCACGCCTTGTGGTCTAGTGAACCCTCCCGAAAATTGCTTTAAAAATCCACGCCTTGTGAGCTACAGACCCTTCTAAAAAACTGCTTAAAATATCCAGGCCTTGTGGACTACAGAACCCTCTCGAAAAGTGCTTAAAAATACACGCATAGTGCACTACTGAACCCTATCGAAAACTGTTTTTAAAATCCAAGCCTTGTGGGCTACTGAACCCTCCCGGAAACGGCTTAAAAAATCCACGCCTTGTGAGCTACAGACCCTTCTCAAAAACTGCTTAAAATATCCAGGCCTACTACATAACCCTCTTGAAGTCTGCTGAAAAAATGCACGCTTTGTAAGCTATTGTAAGCTCGAAATCTGTTTAAAAAGTCCAAGCCTTGTAGGCTACTGAATCCTCTCGAAAACTGCTTAAAATGTCCAAGCCTTGTTGGCTACAGAACCCCCTCGAAAATTGTTAAAAACTCCACGCCTCGTGGGCTACTGAACCCTCTCTAAAACTGCTTTTAAAGTCCAAACCATGTGGGCTACTGAACCCTTTTGAAAACTGCTTTAATACTCCACGCCTAATGGGCTACTGAACCCTCTCGAAAACTGCTTAAAAAATCTACACCTTGAATACTACAGAACCCTCCTGAAAACTGCTTAAAAAATCCACGCCTTGTGGGCTACAGA